CACACACACACACACAGACACAAACACGCAAAAACGTGCTGCACTGTCTGTCGCTTTTACTACGTCTGTTGGTGCACTGGCTCCGGGGCATGTAAAATATACAGATAGTATTATATATTATGTTGTTGTGCTGCCAGCCAAACCTGAGACAGACGCGAATGCCAATTTCGTCGGCAATGGATTTATGGTGGCGGAAGAATATTTGGTGGTGTTTGCGTGTGTGTAAAGTACGGACTTCTAACAGAGTTTTATGAAGTTATGATGCTTTTTTTTTCTTTATCTGTCTTGTTTTGTTTTGCTTTGTCTTGCTTTGTCTTGCTTTGTATTTTTTAAATTATGTTTTCATTTCTTCTGTTTTGCTTTGCTTTGCTTCGTTTTTAACAAATTATACCAAATAATCACGTACCACATCCGATGAAACTAGGCTGTCTGATTGCCAGCTTCACTGCCTTTGTATCTTTTGTCCCTCTTTTTCTCACCCCATAATGACAAGTCAGTTCTGGGTTTTATTATTTTTTTTAAAGATGTAAGCGTTTCATGCACCCATCAACTCAATTTGGTACTTATCATTTCGGGAGACAGGCTTCGACCTTGCGTGTCATCGCCAACCCCGGCTAAAAGGGATCCAACGTTCCAGCAGAAAGACTGAGATACTAATTGTACATTTTACCCACACGGGAATCGAACTTGGGTGTTCTGCATGGAACGGCAAAGCACCAACCCTGACTTGGAGGAAAGGAGAGGGAGGGGCTGTTGTTTTTTCTTTGTTTTGTTAAGCGAGGGGGGAGTGGGGGGGGGTGGTGTTTGCCTGTTTAAAATATGTTTTAATGATATGATGTAATCGGTCGTCGAATACATAAACGCCAGCCATTAGCAGTTGCGATAAAACAAGCTGCCTAACCTCCGACTTTGCAGTCAATGAACCCTGTGTTCTTCTTTTCCGATCCCATAATGAGCAATTAGTTCACGGAAAAGGCAACAAAGCAACAAACAATAGAGTTGTGATGATTAAAAAGAAAGTAGGTCATACCAGAGGCGCTCTTTGTGTGCATGTGCATTGTCAATGCTCTCTCGTGTAGATTCAGAGAGTCTGGGGAAGATTTTCTTTGATGGGAAGAGAAGGCGGTGTTGTTGTTGTTGCTGTTTTGTTTTTGGTTTTTTTTTGGGGGGGGTGTTCTGTTGGGTTTTTTTGGGTGTTTTTTTTTTTTTTAATTTTTTCTTGTTCGTTATTTTTTTTTTTTTGGTGGGGGAGAGGGCTTAGAAACGATATCGGCTTTTCATTCTACTTTCTACTGTCCCAGATTTGTACTATTAAGGACAGCGCTCTATTTAAAATCCTTTATTAAAGTAGGGAGTAAGCTAAGATGAATTATTAATGTCCACATACGATTTTACTCAAATATAGTTCCCTTCACGTTCATGTAACCGATATATTGCCATTGTTCATGAGCTGTACAATGGTCGGCTCAGAGAACCGATCACAAAAAACCTGGTCTCGTGAGTGCCGTGTTTGCAAAGTAGGCATAGAGAGTCTTCACAGCGAAAAGGTGCCTGCCCCCTCCCCCATCTCTCTCTTTATATA